GATTCGGAAGAAATCAACATGCTGGTTGAAGACATGCAATCAGAAGACCCTTTCAAAGTCATCCCAGGGCGGTTTCACCCAACCTTTCCGTCTTGCCAGCAATCTAGGCACCACAACATTGATGCCCAGAAAATGACAGCATGGATGATAGCTCAGAAGGAGAAGCTTGGAAGACGACAGCATCACCTTTGAGGTACCAGCCTAAACTATTATGATGATGAAATTAATGGTGCTAGCATGAATGTAAAATTAAAAGGAAAACTTCAAAAAAATGAAGTCTGACAGGTGTAAATGTTCTACTTATATCATTTCTGTCTTTGCACGTGGTCATCTGATCCTTGTATTTGTAAGTATAATAATTAAGAATTTACAGTAAACATGATAAACAATGGACACAAGTTGCACTTTTTCTTTCACTTTTTCTTTTATCTTCAGCTGACCTAAGAGTAATTCTGCCATCTGTTAAGTCAGAGATGAATGATTCTTTAGAATTAAAGATAACTTCACTGCAACTGCATTAAACTGTATTTATAAGAAATATATACAGTTAATGATATTGTTTCAATTGTCTTGATGTACAGTTGAAAGTGACCTAAATGCTATTTGATTCATTATTACTACATGTACATATTCTTATTTTGCAGTTTGCAGAATTCCAGGCTGCTGGATCAGGAGCTGATCACGTGAGAGATGTGGGCATCAAAGAAGACCTGGGAAAGAACTGTTAGTTGCAGTAGGGAATGTACACAGAAAGTCCTCTTTAGTCTAAACCAGACGTTTATTTGCTTGATAAGTTTCCATTGCACACATTGTATATACAAATTTACAATAGTCTGGAATGTATACAAACTTTTGTTGCTGCTGTAGACTTAGGTAGTAATAGGTAGTAATTCTGCACAGTTAATTGTAACTTAAGCATAATTTTTTTACCATAAGGTTGTCATAAAAACTGAATAATTCTTTGAAATATTGCCGGTACTGTACAATATAAGAACTGAAGATGAGTAATATCAATAGTAGCATTGTAGAATATATTGTGTTTTAACAGTTTCTCTCTTGGCTTTGTTAACAGTTAGTTAACAGTAGAGAACTGACAAATCACAGATTTCAAGTCTTACTGGAATGACTCTTCTAAGATTGTGAATACCATGTCAACCACTTCCTCGTCCCACAAACCAATGTTAGTTATGATGTCGTCCCTAGCTACCAAGGTGGCACAGCTGTCAACAATATTGTCTATAGTGGAAAGACTTAAACCTATGGTGATGTCAAAATTGTACAGTGAGGGTTTCATTTCATCCAAGAGATCATTTCTGTAGTCGATCAGAGATTCTTTCAACATGTGTAGCTGTTCTTCTGTGGGCTGACGATAGCTAGACACTTTTAATAGTTCCTCATCAGAAAGTTCAGGAACTGATGACAGACCTTCATGTTTGTTCCAGGGAAAAGAATCCCCACATTCTACACATAGGTCACAGCATGTGTCCTTATCAGATACCTCCACAGAAGAATGTGTATCAGAACTTTTGAGCTTGAAATAATCTAGTAAATACTTCCTACGACAACTCCCACTTGCCAGTTTGCAATAGCCTGACATTGACTGTGAACATGATCCCTTGGCAAGTGTTCTACTCTGGTGCAGAATCAGGGAATGTGAAGGTCTACCATCCCTTCCCCCCCTCCCACTTTCTTGGTAGAAACCTTCAACATGTCTTGGGGCACCCCAGTGAATCACTGCGAGAACATCTGGAACATCTATACCCATCCCAAATGCTACAGTTGCAATTGTAACTCTTACCATACTATCAGTGTTTCTGAAATCATCCAAAGGAAATTTTTATTTGTCTCTGCAGAGCTCCTGTGGAACATTGCTACTCTTCTATTCCTGTAGGACTTTGTCATCATATTACATACCAGATTATATGCATCATCACCCAAAGAAGTCATGAACATGTCATACAACTGAGAGCAGCTTTTAATGCTACGGCAGTATATGATGTATTTTCTACAAGACTGTCCCTTACTTTTAAGTTCTTCAACCAACCATCCGAACTCCTTGCGACTGTCATGACTTGAAGGTACTGCATGATACATAATGTTAGGTCGATTTGATGGTACTGAAACAGTGAAAGTGTCCAAATCCATACACAATGATGACAGAATGTCCTTCCTTATTTCCTCAGTAGCTGTAGCTGTGAGAGTCATGAACGGTACATCACCAAGCAAGGATCTCAGTTCTGCCAATCGCTTGTAATCCTTCCTGAACTCTCCACCCCTGTAAAATAGAGTAACACTGTTAGCTATGTAAGGAATACGGCACAACGTTTCATATGGTCTTTAGTAGCCTATTTACTATTAACAACTTTTGGCATCAAAGTGTTGGTGTGCTACATGATGTGAAAAAAAATAACGTTACACCGGCTTGTCATGAGTCTCGTAACTTTCATATGTACAGCATCCATGCTTACTACGTTGCCTACAATCACTTGACTGTCACATTAACAACAAAATCTTATTTATTACTAACACACGCAGCACTCCCGCATAGACAAGAATTATACCAGCCCCCCCTCCCCTTTACGCGTGGACACGCATTTATATGAAATAGTATACATGCACATGCATTGTCATTTTCTTACACAGCCCCACGAAACTATATTTAAAAAAGCTATTGCAGAATTTTAGTCATGCCTTGAAATGCAAAGTACCATACCAAGACGTTATGCAGTGAGCCTCGTCGACGGCAACACCAACAAGATGTTCGCGGTAAGTCTTGTTTGTCAACATCCCTCTCCAACTTTTAGAGTTCAGAATCGCCTCTGGCGATACGAAAACCAGGCTATATTTCCCCTCAATTACTCCTCTCTTGATATCAGCATCTTCCTGCGTCTCGCCGACATAGGCAGCTTTGATCCCTCCCTGCTGCAGGCGTTGTACTTGATCCTGCATTAGCGACAGCAACGGAGACACTACCAGCATCACACAGTGTTTCCCCAGCAATCTTTCCATGACAAGAGGGACCAGCGTGTAAAGTTCCGTCTTGCCGTAGCCAGTGGGCAAGCAGGCAAAAATGTCCTTTCTCCTCTGGACAAAGTACGTCACCGCCTTCTCCTGAAGTGGCTTCAGAGGCCAAGGCCGACCAAAATCCTTGCAAACAGACTCAAGGAGGGGCCGAAACTCGCCTTCGACTGTGGAAGAAGCCGCCATTTTTCCTCGAAATAAACAACCAACAAGATAACATTTGTCACCCCGCCCGCGCTCCGCCCACCGTCTGGGCCGCGGCGCCAGCAGTGACATCGCTAACTAGCGAATTTCCATGGTAACGGGGGCTCGACTAAATTCCTACCCCGTGATTGGTGTTACAACTTTCGCTAACGGCTCCCCGGCCTTAGAGAGAGTGGCGCACAAGCTCTTGGGTGGCGGACTATGTAGGGAGCCCCCCGGAGCTTGGGTTACATAGGCTATCTTCGAATCAGCAGGCCACAATACCGTAGATTCACCTACATTTGCACTACTAACACAGTGGAAAACAGAGCATACAGTTGTGGTATGATTAATTCATAGGGAGTTCACGCAAAAAAAAGCTGACTTAAAAATACAGGAAAAATTTCCAGTCTTGCAGTACTTATACAGGGCAGGGGGAGGGCTAGAGTGGGCGGACAAGATTCTCAAAATGTCTGAGCCAAGCCAGGCCACAAGTCCAGATTAAAGGGCAAAAAATCTGTATCCAAACGTTCCAAATATACGACAAATACATACTAAGAGTAGGAGAAAACTCAAAGATATATAAAGCAATTGGTATTACTTCAAAAAATGAAAAAGCTGAACCGGTTTGGTACAATATGATGATTTTTGAGTGACGTTGATCTGCATGTGGTTGTTATACAGGGCATCGGCTTCACATAGCTCAAGTCTTTGTAGTTCTTTGGTCTTATCGGGCGGAGATACACAAATACGCCGGGCGCTGTTATCGCTGCTTCACATATGTACATTTCCCAGGAATTTGGATTGGATCACCGGTGGGCGTACTAGTAGGTTTGGAGTTGATCACCAAACGCCCACCCATACTCTAGCTTATATCCTCTACCAGGCACCGTGGATCGCTGGAAAAATAGTAGAAATTGGCCTAAATAAAGGGATAGTATGCCCAGGGACCTCCCTAAACAATGGAGCAGTGGAGCTCCTCCACCCAGTCCTTATCTCAGCTCCACCCTGTTAATTTTCAAAACTAGTGTTTTTACACCCTTTTCCAGGGTTCTTTGGTCAAATTTACCGATATTTCGCACCCTCCTCCATTCTGTCCTAAATTTCTGATTGCCAGAGGAGATCCCGGGCTATAGAAGATCCAATTCGCGTTATGTTGGATCTTCTATAGCCCGGGATCTTCTCTGGCATACTATCCCTTTATTTAGGCCAATTTCTACTACTTTTCCAGCGATCCACAGTGCCTGGTAGAGGCTATGTAGCTTAGGCCACACTGATTTCATTTTATGGATAACATCCACTGATTTTCGCCTGTTCAAAACAAAAATCACCACCTCTAAGGCTCTGGCCTGGGTGCTATCATCCGTAGTCCATGGTAGCTAGCGACAATACTAGTAGGGAGCCAGTGGTAACTACGGAGGATGGCACCCAGGCTGCCGAAGCTCCACGGAAATCAAGAACTCCGTAGTATACAGTGCCGATTCTTAACTGCCGCAAAATGCCAGCCTGTGTTGGCTTGTCGTAAATCATTACTAAATGTTGCCATGTACTAAAGCACATTCAGAATACTGGCTCTGTATTTCTGTGATTTAACAGTATTTTTTTTGCTGGAATTTTTTTTTCATTTGCCAGTGCGCACCAGTTTGGGGGCCTTCAGAAGAAGTCATCCATAAAATAATGTCAGTGTGGCCTTGATCACACCAACGCCCACCCATAGACAGGCCAGTAAAAATCCCAGACGGAATTTGTGTGACCTTTCCGCATTTCTGGGTGAATTTCCAGATGCGAAAATTTCTCAGACAGACAAATTGCTACGTCCAAACGCTATACACACATGATGAATTGTCAACCACATCCAATTTTGTATTTTGCTACCTTTGTAGCGTGCAAAATACATACTTTACTTGGGGCAACCTATTTTTGAACCAAGGTAGACCAGTGTGCTACCTGAATTTTAGAATGACCCCCCCCCCCCACCAGCTGCCACCCACACGAAATCATGCCCACTTGGCTTGCACCATTGTATCCAGCAGATGCTTTTTAATTTTAGGTATTAATGGCTATTAGTATTACTAGTATCAGTTAACTAAAGGCTGTTAGAAATATTGTCAAAGGCTAAATATGTACATCTATGTAACATTACTTAATTTGAGGAAAGTAGTGACTTACAGGTGGGGCAACCTAAAATTCTGATGGGCAACCTAATTTTTGCTGTAAGTTGCCCACTATTTTCTACACTGATTTGGCAACCTTGGTACTTCAAGTCCAAGAAAAATCCCTCCTCTCCTAGATTGCTAATCCTAGCTACCAACTGACGTTTGATAAAATACCAATCACCTAATACTTGGGCGCATGTCGAGATGATACATTGTCTGCATATTACTGAAATCTGAGAGTCAGTGTTAGAGTCAGACACATGGGCATCGTGGATCACTTGTACAGCCCTAAACCATTTGTCAATTGTCAGATTGTTTGAACTCAGGGTTGGGTTAGATCCAAGTCCAATGCTGAACTAGCAAATGCCTAGAACATGAGGATACCCCATAGCATTTATGACAAAATGTCAATGTATCATAAGAAAATTTGGAACAGATTTATACGGTTAAGTAACAAAATTATTCCATGTAACTTTTCACTGACCTTGTTGTGTGAAAAATTGTTTCTCTTAAAGCAAGTTAGAAACACTGATAGAATAAATTACAAATTAAACAATCAATAATTTTGATAAGGTAATAATTTAAGTTGTTATGTTCAGTTATGAATGTACATGTATCATTGTATGGGACTCCTTGCATCAATTTGTATTAAGTGTCATACACTATACTTCAAATTCTGAAACAAACATTTTTGTTTGAGCAGAATGTTGTATTAGGAAGTTGCAAACATCCTTTTTTGCTTGAGGGGAGTTCATTAGGGGATAACCAAACACCAGAGACATGAGTCAGAACTGTTGTCTTACAGATAAAACAATGTAAGCAAGTGTTCATTGTTGTCTGGGAGACAAGATACATAAATTTGTACAACAGGAAATATGTGGGAGCACTATCTCTCGTTAAATGTCTATCATGAAAATAATCCTTTTTAAATAATAATTCTTTAGAGTACTTAAAGGAGATTCGATTCTCTGAAATATTTTAACAATGCCTAGTGGTAGCTTTGCTTTATATAGCTAGATCAAACTTCAAAGTACACTTTTACACAAAGTCCACTCAAACTTTGAGTCAAAGAACTGACATCAACTTTATCCCAGTTCCAAAGTACTGTACTGTGAACCTTGTAAAAGCAAATCTTGACATATTCACATACACAGTGGTTTCATTTTTTCGTATTGATTTATGGAGACCGCAAAATCGTGACATCAACAATTTTTCCCCCACTTTTTCAAGTGTTAATTTGTTTTTTCTTTTACTAGACCTTTCAGAAGCTTTAATGAGTTTCCATGTTTTAACTGCCATTCATCCAGTACTGTGAACACTGCAATCTTAGTGTCCACACATCAATACATACATTGTATTGTCACATAAAATATTAATAATCATCCGGTAGGACATTTTACCTGTGACATATTCACAAGATCCATCTTTTCATACCTTTACTGTATGTGAGACATTTGAGAAAAGGGCAGGTTACTATATATGTATGTTTGATTGAAAGCTAATCCCAGATTTAAAACACCATTGTCCCCTAGCATATGGTATTCACAGACAGGTGTCTACCCTATGACTACAGAAGTATTCGATTTCAGGGTCTTTAGAGACTGCATACCGTAGATATCAGAACTTTTGCAGTGGTCTTACTTTTAACATGACCTTTCTATGACACTACAAATATGCAATTCCAAAGTATGTCTTACTGTACTACAGTAAATTATTTTAACCACAAATTTCGAACACTGAAAATCTCCTAAAGCCCCTTCTAATGCAGAACAAAACCACCATGAAAGACTGGATTTACGGTATATCAATATCTGGGATAGGTAAACATAGAATTGGGATAACTGAAAAAAAAACAAAAAACAATTTGGACAATTGGGCCCGGGCAATGCCGGATGGCATAATGTGGAAGGAAATTTTGTGCTTATTGCCGACCTAACTAATCGATAGAAGATGATACCAGCAAGTTGTACCTGCTTGATGTTATTTAAATAGACTCACGGTATATCAATATGTGGGATGGGTAGACCTAGAATTCAGACAACTATCGGACAAAAAAACCAAAACAACTTGGACCATTGGGACAATGCGGGACGGAATAATTTTGCGCTTATTGCCGACCTAACAATCGATAGACGATGATGAAGAATACAATTTGTACATGGGACTTTGGCCACTAATTGCCCCAATACTGACAGTGTCAATCAATAAAGCACAGGCTGAGATACTGGACACATTCCCAAACACCCAATCATGTTTTACTGCATATAGGAGCCAAGGACAAGGCCGTTAGATGTCAGCAACACAAGGCTGCATGACCAAACATGTAGTTCAGCTTTTTGTAGTCATAAATTTTGTAGGTTTCATGACTTGTCAGGGTTGGACAAGTTTTCAAAAATCCACTTGCCGTATCGGGCAAGTACCTGGTCATTTCCACTTGCCCGGACCAACTTTTCACTTGCCCAAAATATGAAGCATTTCTATGCATTTTACTAGCAGAAAGGAAATTATTTTATTATAACAGAGTTTATAATGTTGGATGCTTTATGTATCAAAATTGTTTGAAACTTGGTCAAAATACTGCGGGGCTATACTTTGCATCCAAAAAATTTACTTGCCCAAGCGGGCAAGTCCAAGGGGATATTCACTTGCCCGAACAGTACTTTTACTTGCCCTGGGCAAGTGGGCAATGGGACTTGTCCAACCCTGACTTGTATAGGGCTTGAAATCTTTTTATCTACATACATGTACCTCTACTGATGGATATCTGTAACACTGAAAAATTAAAACTGCACCAGGCAACTTTTACCTGCACCATTCAGAATGTAGGAAGTATGGATCATACTTAAACTGTTCAGATTTAACCATTGACATTATTTCTAATGTCACAGTAATTAATGTGGTAACAATCAATACAGCAAA